AACACCCTAACTATAATGTCAAGCACTTTTCAAGGCAGTGCTGACTAACGTGGGATGCCAACAAAATCACTTACATCAAGTTACATGCTCATTCGCTTTAAATTTTGTACAAAGCCAACATTGTCAAGTGCACCAGCCGCGGCCCCAGGGTCATGGCTGAGGCAGGACACAAACATGCACGGCACACACATCTGACGTTGATGAAGTGGTGGAGGGGCAGGATATAAAAAGTCGTCCGGAGAACAGACATGGACGCTTCAATGAGACAAATCCGCCAACATATGCGTGCCTCTCTTGACACAGGCTGGCTCAGACATCCATTACTGCTGCGGGAGATACCAGCTCAGGACAGCAACTTCTTGCTCTTTTTTTTTTTTTTTTTTAACATAAAAACAGAATGGCTGGATGGAGCCCCCTGCAAGACAGGTAGGAGTGCATGCTCGTATCATCACTGGGATTCACGCCTATCTGGTGTTGAGGGTGGAAAAAAAAATCAAAATGGATGGATGGATCTGGCTCCTTATCCATTCTGGGGAGCAGCAGTCCGGGGCCCAAGTCCCACTAGCATAGCTCCTGTTCCTGTCTTCGGAACTAAGCGGCACATTGCGACGGCGAGTGGCTTTGTGCGGCCTTATTTTCTCCGTGGGGCGTGCGGTCTTATTTTCTCCGTGGGGCGGCCTTATTTTCTCCGTGGGGCGTGCGGCCTTATTTTCTCCGTGGGGCGAAAACATATTCCAGCTGTGTAGCGCGCTCACAGTTCTTCCACATGGAGTACAAAAAAAAAAAAAAAAAGCGCAGAGGAAGCTGCCCCCGTTGTGGCCGTGTATGGGGTATGAATTGGGCCCAGCTGCACTGAGCTCTACTTTCACAAAAGACAAAACATATGGAAGTGCATCTTTCCATGTTCTTGCGGAAAGTTCACTGTCAAATTCCACCTTTAGAGAACAGTGCTGGGAGGCCCGATGGTGAAGGCTTTCCTTTCTCGAACAGACCGCGGCCATCTGGTGATGCAGGGTCTTTCCCATCTCCCTTTTTGTTTTTGGTTCATCACGGCCGCATTTGTGGCTTCCTGTGACTGTTCTCGACTTTTTTTTTTTTTTTTGGTTTTTCCGCCCACTTCTTTCTTGTTATTGTTAGAGCAATTGGGAAGTTTCCCCGAACTCTCCTTGTTTACCTCCTGTACAGTGACTGCATCACAAGACAGGAAAGAGAGGAGGGGTAAAATCCTTACTACCGTCTTCACCCGAATAGAACGCCCGGTCATTATCGCCGCATCCGGACGGAAAGTTGTGCGAAATACAGCTATAATGACCGGGCGTTCTATTCGGGTGAAGACAAAGTGAGGGTACCAAATTTCATTTCAGTGCAGCAACTGGGCGGTTTACGCGCAATCTCACTATTTTTACGTCCTGTCTGACTGGCAATGGAAAGTGAAGCATTTTGAAATTCTTCGAACGGTGAAACTATTGGCCTCGCTCTACTGCTCAGCACTCTAACATGTATATGCGCTGGAGGGGGGCCAGATACATTCGGATTTCTCCAACATTTTGACTGCATCGGGACCATTCCGGGCTCCAGATACATTTAGAAAGTTGTGCAAATGCGACGCAAAATCTCAATATTTTTACATCCTGTCCGACGGACAATCGAAACTGAAGCATTTTCTTCGAACGGTGAAACCATGGGCCTCGCTCCACTGCTCGGCACTCTTAACATGTATATGCAGTGAAGGAGGCCCAGGTACATTCGGACTTGTCCAACATTTTGACTGGATGGGACCATTCCGGGCTCCAGATACGTTTAGAAAGTTGTGCACTTGTGGAGCGAAGCCCTTTCTTCCCTGTTCCTGCAGTGTGGCTGTTTTTTTTTTTTTTTTTTTTTTTTTTTTTTTTTTTTTAACCCAAAGACGCCCTAGCAGAGGTGTTTGCAACCGTGCTGACAAGTCATCATTCTGCACTCGCACGAGCTGATTTTGACAGTTGACTTACCTGACGAAATTAAATTCTGATGTACTTCTTTTCGCCTTGCCCCTTGCAGGTGTTCCCGGTTCTGACGCAGAGCGTTGTTGAACAGGTGTTTGCATTCATTAACGTACACATGTTTAACAGGTAGGTTCTCGTTTTCATGTGACACTGTGTGGAAGCAGATGATCTGATTAAAATGCATTGTGTGATTATTGTCCGCATGTGCGCGCGCGCGCGCGCGCGCGTGTGTGTGTGTGTGTGTGTGTGTGTGTGTGTGTGTGTGTGTGCGTGTGTGTGTGTGTGTGTGTGTGTGTGTGTGTGTGTGTGTGTGTGTGTGTGTGTGTGTGTGTNGTGTGTGTGTGTGTGTGTGTGTGTGTGTGTGTGTGTGTGTGTGTGTGTGTGTGTGTGTGTGTGTGTGTGTGTGTGTGTGTGTGTGTGTGTTTCAATAACAATGCAGAATGAGGATAGTACAGCCAATTAAAAGAGAAAAAGAAAAAAAAAGAAGGAAAAAGAAAGAAAAAGAAAGAAAAAGAAAGAAAAAGAAAAGAAAAGAAGCTAGATGTGATGTGATGTGATTCGGTTTGACATGCGAGTTGACATATTTGATGTCTAGGGGTGGGATGATTTTTTTTTTTTTATTTTTTTTCCAGTTCCAAATGATGCTTCGCCTTTGTAGTAATAAATAATAAACCTGCTACCTAGGGCTTCAAGTTCCATGAAAATTGCGGTTTCAGACAACATTTGGCTAGGATGGTGAACGCAAAGTTGTAAACACAATCGTCATTCGGACGACATTCGGACGGCTTCCGTCGACGTCGTCAAAAAATGTGGTCAAGAAATGCTCACTATGGGAGATGTGTGTATGCCACTATGGTCAATATTCAGAGACGCCGCTGTTTCGGAATTTTTTTAAACGAATTGAGCAAACGTCGTGATTGCAGGTGTTGCACATCTTTTACGTCCTAGGGTGTAACACTCTTTTCTCTTTTCTTTTACTGTTTAATAAGAACATAGCTCTTTTCTATTGGTGGGGGGGACCACATGCTGGAAACGGGGTCCAACCGTCTCTGAATTGAGAATGTACGCAGTCTTAACGGTTCCCCACGTTACAGCGTGAGGAACCTTGACAGCATTGATTTTTTTTTTTTTTTTGGGGGGGGGAGACAGCTCCGAGTGCTTCCGCGAAGAAGGATTAGGGTGGCAAATGTTTTTTAAATAATGTTCATAAAATTCGAGGATAATAATGTCGGCGAATTGTTTTTCTTGTGGGATCCATGTGTGTGCAGCTTGCAGATGAGACGGGAGTGTTGCTGTTACAGCAACGGCTTGTTTGTCAGAGACGGGCTTAAGATGCTGGACCACTGGGCCTCTGATGTCGGACGCCAGGTAGGATTGGAGGGTCAAGGGCGCCTCTTCTCTTCTCACTGTGACTGTCTGCCTGTCTGTCTGTCTGTCTGTCTGTCTGTCTGTCTGTCTGTCTGTCTGTCTGTCTGTCTGTCTGTCTGTCTGTCTGTCTGTCTGTCTGTCTGTCCTTTCCTTTGCCAACCAAAGATCATTAGAATTATCCCCTAACAAAAAAAAAAGGAGAAAAAAACACCTTGATGTCAGGAAGGAGAAATGAGGAATGATAGTGGACTCGATGTATGGACTGCAATGGCTCTGCACGTTCAGAATGACAAAATTAATGGCCATCACCGTCGAAGTTGAGGTTCATCCGAAGCATAGATAATCAGGTAGAGGGAGGGCCAAGGGCGCCGCCTCTCTGCTCAATGTGACTAACTGCCAGTGCCTGTCTGACTGTCCGATGTCAAGCCTTCCCTTTGAAAGCAAAAGATCATTAGAATTATCACCCAAAAAAAAAAAAAAAAAAAAAAAAAAAAAATCACCTTGATGTCTGGAAGGAGAAATGGCCATCGCTCTTGGAGTTGACGGTCATGCTAAGCATAGATAATCATGCTTAGCACGATCTGGAGACCAGGGAGGATAAAATTTAATGGTCATTGCTGGAGCCGTTTTCCAATATGGAAGGGAGACGAAGGCAGATGAAGTTGACAAGAAACACGCAAGGGACACTGGACCTGGTTTGTAGCATTTCAGCTCTTCAGATAATTTTCTAGATTTAGAGAACTTTGTGTCTTCATTTCAATTTCGGAAATTCCTCCCTCTATTGCTGTTTAGTCCAGTTAAATTATCCTTTCCTTGAGAGTTTCCATCTCAGGGACGCCGGACCCAGTTTCCAGCACTAGCCTAAGCTGGGTATGGCCCCCAGTTTTCGGTCTGGGTTAAAATGTTATTGTTTTCCCGGCCTCATTTTCCGATCTTAACATATTACAAACTTTCAAAAAAAAAAAAAAAAAAAAAAAAAAAAAAGGAATGGCCATCGCCCTCAGGGCTGGTCCCTGGTTGGACCGGGGGCCCCTCCCCTGACCGGGAGCCTGCCGGTGGACCGCTCCATGTTAAAAAAAAAACTTTCACACGATGCTGGAGACCAGGCAGGGCGACCATCTCCTCTTCGCTCTTACCAACCAGAGATAGCAACGTCGTCCTTGTCCTTTTGAAAGGAAAAGACGTATTGGCTCCCATAAGCTCATCCATTTTTGTGCTCATACTTCACATGATACTGCTGTGCCTTGCCGTGATGGCCTGCTGCTGCAAGTGCCTGTCACTGCTTCCCAAGCTTCCCAACAAAAAGAAATTGAACACAACTGTGAGCTTTAGACATTGCTGTGGGAAAAAGTGACGAAGTCGTCATCTCGTCCCTTTTTGACTCTACTTGAACTTTTTCCCCTTTTGCTTTTTTGCTCGGTCCTTCCTGTTTTTCAGCTTTCTTTTTTTTCCCGACTCCATTCTTCTTGTTTGCATTTCGCTTAGCTTGTTTTCTGTCCCATCGGCCCTTGTGCGAGAGGCCCTCTCCATCGCTCCTCTTTCCCACGCTTCTTTTTTTTTTTCGTTTTTTTTGGCCGTTATATGATTTCCCCCTGGAGCTAACAGTTTCCACCTCTGCTGCATGTGTGTGTGGATGATGATGATGATGTGTGTGTGTGTGTGTGTGTGTGTGTGTGTGTGTGTGTGTGTGTGTGTGTGTGTGTGTGTGTGTGTGATGATGATGTGTGTGATGATATGTGTGTGTCCCTGCGTGTGTCACATCCTGGTTCTGTTATGGTGTTCAATGTTCATGTATTGCAGTCCTCTGGCAGGGCCTCAGAGAAGCTCACCCACATCCGACAAGCGACACATTTCTTGGTAAGTGGCTCGTTTGTTGTCAGACATCTTTACTAGTCTAGATTCATGCTGCCGACGGCGGATTTACCGGCTGAGTTCTGGTTTTAGTTCTGTTTTTACTTTACTTTTACTTTTACGTTTACGTTTACCTGACGCAGTGCTATCCTATAGTTAGGGAACTATATAACTGATGATTATCGCGTCTACTGGTCTTTTCTGGGTCCGAAGTTTAGTGTACCTGTTGGTGTCTCGCGATGCCGCAGGTGGACTACGGAGGTGGGAAGTGGGAAGTAAGCTAAGTTGAGGGCGAGGACAGGTGGTTTCCCCCTGAGGAGGACCGCGTGGCGGCTGTCGAAACGGGTCGGGGTGTCATACCCACCGGCGTGTGCAATCATTTCTCTTTCGTTTTCATGCTTAAGACATTCGTGTGTACTAGTGTACGATGAGTTCGTGTCACGTGTGAACTTGTACGGTGTACGATGAGTTCGTGTGAACTTGTGTACCTTGAACTCTGTCTTGCATGGTAACTGTTCTCTTTGAGACCTTTCCTTACCTACCAACTCCCGTTTTGTGCTTTTCTTTTTTCTTTTGCATGGTGATCCGTGGAGTCAAGCCTCCAGGTGTCGATTGATGTCTTGGTCCTCCAATTTCCTGGAGGGAAGAAAGGTCGTCATGAATTACAATCTATCAGATCATCCTTCCTTCGAAAGAGAGTTTAGAAAGGATTTTTTTATTTTTTTTTCGGTTCTTATTAGTCATGAATCGTGATGCAAAAGTCAAGTTTTAAATCATCAGTCAGTGACGCAAATGTCAATTTTCAAATCATCACACTCAGACTATCTTGTGGTTGTCGGCATTTGTTGCGTCCTGTCCAATTTGCAGATTTATGACGACAAAGAGACGGCCACGCTTGAGGATATAACGAAAATCGTCTGCCCTGTACGTATGGACCAATTTGTTTCTGTGCTGTTTCATTAGTTTCATTTGCTTTGCTTTGCCGCCCTTTTTTCTTTTAAACAAAACGCCAAATCGATTGAAAGCTGGGAATCAAAATTGAGCTGACCGGCCCCAGGCAATTCAGATATAGTTGGTCTTACTCCTCAGGTTCCATCATTATCATCTTTCTGATGAAGTTTTCTGAAAAAAAAAAAAAAAGGTTCCATCATTATCTGGTTGGGTGTATCCACTGAGCTAGGGTCTTGGCCCTTGGGTACAAAATGAAGAATTTTCTCATTCTCTGCTCTTAAGTTTTTGCTGTCTCAGATCATTTCTCAAAAGTCCGCGAGTCCGAAACATAGTTTCTGTTCATGATTTTGGTGCACGATATTTTATTATTTTTCACTTGTGCCCTCTAGCCTTGCCATTTTTCTCCAGAAAGTGCCGGTGCAACATCACCTTTTCTCTCTCTCTTTTCTTTTCTTTTCTTTTTTTCTTTTTTTTTAAACGCTTACCTAAACTCTGGACTGTAATGTCTCCTTGTTCTTCCGCTTGCGATTATAGTATTCATTTATTGACCGTGGAAACTCGTATGCTCATTGGGAGTCATCAAGTGTGGTGGGGAATCTGGGGATGTCAACTGACTCAACTGCCGCTCGTGCTCCCAATATGTTATGTTTTCTCTTCTCGACTGTCATTGACATTTCAACAGGACCTCAACATGCATCAGCTGCACCGTATTGCAACCATGTACTCTGATGACGCGAATGTCTGTCCTGGGCTATCTCCTGAGGTACGTGTCTCACTCTGTGCGTGTATGTGTGTCACAGTGTGTGTGTTAGTCAACATCCCCAAACTCTCTCTCTCTCTCTCTCTCTCTCTCTCTCTCTCTCTCTCTCTCTCTCTCTCTCNCTCTCTCTCTCTCTCTCTCTCTCTCTCTCTCTCTCTCTCTCTCTCTCTCTCTCTCTCTCTCTCTCACACACACACACACACACACATTCCATCCTCATACCATCACACCATCCAAAAACAAAAAAAGGTATAGATGAGCAATATAATAGAAGGTGCAAGGTTACCCACGTTTGTGTGGTTGAGCGGGAAGTGCCCACACATTCCCGTCTGCCCCGAAGCGGCACACTTGCAAAGTTGCACAAATATATATATATATATATATTTTTTTTTCAATCTATAAAAACAAAGGTAAAGGGCAGAAGACAACATACCTAACACGGAAGATACGTTGTATTGGGGGGAAGACTGTGGCGTATACACCAAAAACGAAAAGAAGAAAGAAAGAAAGAAAGAAAGAAAGATCGGGCATCTGCTGTGACGGTCAAATAATGGGCCTCGCTGCACCAATCTCGATATGCACAAACAAAAAATATGGCGGCGTTCTAGCAGAAGATTCATTCTCGTTTTGTGCATTTGGAGAGTTGTGCTGCGAGGCCGAACATGTGGTTTGTAGGGGTCGGGAGGTAGGGTAACGTGGCATTGAGAGAAGAATCTACCTTAGTTTCTTTTTCTGAAATAATAATAATGATAATACTAATAATAATAATAATAATAATAATAATAATAATATAATAACAATATGCGGTTTAAATTGTGTGTCCTTCACCCAGGTGGTTGACGATTTGGCGGACGCAACTCAAGACTCTCTTACCGAGACATTCTTGCTCACTGACGACACAAGGTATGTATTGTATGTATTGTATGAAGTACTATGAACTCCAACGAAGTACTATGAACTCCAACGATTTGTTGTTGTTGTTGTTGTTGTTGTTGTTGTTGTTATCGGAACATCGAGAGGGGGCCAGCTGATGGAGGTGGCAGTACAAGTAACCCCAACGAGTAGTTTCCCCAACGGATTTTGATGGCTCCAAGCTCATTACTACTACCGGTAGTAGTCGGGAGTTGTACCTGCAGAGGACCGGGTCCAGCGTTATAAATGTACCCCCTATTTCCAGGTCCTGCCCAACGGGCCCAAAACTGAATTCAGGGTTTGGGGGACAAGTTTGACCTGTGGGCCATTCTTATACATGGCATGAGAAATTTCTGAAAATTCAGGCCTCCTTCTCTCAATTTAAAATAGTATATTTACGTGTGTATTTTGCCACCTTTCATGGGGAGCCGCACTCGTTCCCGACGCTTACGGAAGTTTCACGGACTTTCGAGGGACTGAGCTGCCTGTGAGCTTCGGACAGCTACGGACGAATAACGGCCTGAGACTCTACGCGACTCTTGGACCTTCGGGACGAAGCTAGGGGGCCTACTGGATTGTTCTCACGGTGGCACTATGTTTCCGAAAAAAGCAGCCTTCTCTAATGACTTGCAAAATTGGTTTGGAAAAAAAAAAAAAAAAAACAAGCAACCTTGGAACTGGGAACTCGTGAATGGGACTCTGAGACTCGTGAATTCTTTCAGCTTGTCCGTATCCGTAGCAGTAGTACCTTTGGCGCGCGTGGGAAAATAGGGGAAAGTGGACGTTTTCCCAAACTCCTAAAGTTTCGGAGGCCGGGCCCGACGACGGCTGCCATTGCATTGATAAATCTGATCGGCGGTTTCGTTTCGGCCTCCGAAAAGGTAGGAGGCCCTCCCACGCGTCAAAGAAAGAAAAAAAGGAGGGGAAAAAAAAAAAAAAAGAGATTGATCGCCACTGTAACAGTAGAATGAGTTATGCTAAACCGGCTGATGCTGCTGGGATAACTCCGGGTAGTGTCCGTTCAAGTGCTGATTTGTAATGAAATTGATGAATATGGTTAAAAAAAAAAAAGAAAAGAAAAAAAAGAAAAAAAAAAAAGAAGTTATTCAGTTTGCAATTGTGGTTCTGTGTTGTGTTTGCCAACACCCCCAACACTGATAGCCCGCTCATGCCTTTCTTGGCTGTGTCATCTTCTGTTTTTTTCCCCTTTCCCTTCTTTTCTGTGTCCTCTTCTGTTCGACGTGGCAATTTGTATTTCCTGCAGTACGCCATTTACGCTGGATGACATTGTGATTGCGACTTCAGCGTCATTGGGCGAGATGATGAGCGTCGAGCCGCCACAGCTGCTGGCAGACAGTCCGTCTTTCCAGTTCCTTCTTTCAGAGGCAGCATAGGCTGGCTCCCAGAGTCTGCTGTTTGAGCGCACCACAGGTACTACTCCCGTACAATCCGTTGTACGTCACATCACTCTAATGCAGTCAGGAATTCCAAGACATGAGATTTCAAATGGAGAGGGAAACGGATGAACAGAAGGGACGGACAGGATGTGATGTGCGCCAACAGATAGAAGGACCAATCAACCAACGAACAGACCATGCTGCTGACCGGTGAGCTTGAGCTTGAGCTTGTCCACTCACCGGAGCGGACGAAAGGGGATGTGCAGCGTCAAGCCCATGATGGTCACTGCTGTTCCAAGTGCACTCGGCGGATGGTGCTGCTGCTACACCACAGCGCAGTGACCGCCGACGCTGTTCCCAGCGCTTTTTAACTTCCGAGTACAGGCAGGTCCCGACTTGATCTGTCTTTTGGGGGAGCAAGGAGGGGATAGACGTACAGGGGGGGGGGGGGGGGATTCCGACGGTTCCTTGGAGCATACTCTCGCACAAGCTTTTTGACTGAATGCGGACGCTATTGCGGCCGGATACGTGGAGGAAAAAGAGTGACTGCGCGAGTTGTATAGCCCTCAGTGGCATGTGATTAAGGATTATATATAATGTCCGTCTTTCCTTAGCATTCCATATTAGGCTCTTGAATAGGAGGAATAGCACAAACTCGCTGCCTTTTGGTGAAGCGGCAGCTGTAGGGATGTAGTGTTTCTCGGTAGTTTTGTGCGTATGTTTTTTTTTTTTTTTTTGCGCCTCGGCCCTCTGTACACACAGCATGCCTCGTTTGCTAGGTTGACTATATGAGTGTATGTAGAACTGGCAGCGTTCTCGGCAAGGAAATCCACCTCATAAGCATCCTCTGTGTGTGTGTGTGTCTGTGTGATTTACGTTGTAGATTCAATGCTACGTGCCTTCTTTGTTATCACCACCGTCCTCTTCAGGTCGTCACTGGCTCTCTCTCTCTCTCTCTCTCTCTCTCTCTCTCTCTCTCTCTCTCTCTCTCTCTCTCTCTCTCTCTCTCTCTCTTCGTTGATATGTGTTCCTTTTGTAGTGTCTTTTATTCTTAGAATTTTTTGAACAGCTTTCGTTCGTTTTTGTTTTTTTCTCGTCATCATTTTCCCCGTAGCGATCAAAAACAAAACACCCTTTCCCCCCTCCCTCGAGCGTCAACTGCAACAGCTGATTGATTGGGCGCCTGCCGCCGATCTCCGGTAACCGCAGTCGGCTTTCACTACTTCAACCTGATGAAGACGAAGCAACTGCAAGCAAAGGACTTGCTGCACTTCGCTAAGAGAACCAGCTCTCTGGTCGTTTGAAGCCAAAAGTTGCAGCAGTTTGGATATCATGGAAGTTCAACATTTGCACGCTGGCAAAGCCGCTCCAGCTCGTGAGAGGCTACTATAGCAGCGCTGCAGCAGCAGCAGCAGTACTGTCGTACTCAAATTCAGTCGATTTTTTTTTATTTTTTTCTTTCTTTCTTTCTTGGTTCTTGGAAAATATTTTGGATTCAGTTGAGGAGTTCAGTCCTAGTTTGGGAAGCATTCTTCTTTTGGGGGGCAAAGTTTTTTTTGGATCTAGCCCGAAGCCAACCTGCAGTTTGGACAACTGCTCGTTAGTTGCTAGTATTATAAGAAGTCGTCTCCATAAAATTGATGTTTGAAGAAGAACACATTTGGAGGGGCTGGGTGACAAAGCAAAGCAGCTGTGGACCTAACAGTGGTCAGTTAGTGAGGAGCAGGAGTAGGAAGGAAGTAGTGGTACTGAAATGTAGATGAGATTCTTGTGAAGGATTTCGGATTTTGTTTTGTTTTGTTTTCTTTTTGGGGGGGGTGGGCGGGGGGAGAGGGGGGGGAAGGATTTTGGTTTAAGCTGAGAAGGTGAATTAGGATGTGATGATAACCCTCTCGGGGGAGATATGATGAGACCAACCAACCAACTAGTTTCATGTGAGTGGAGGAGGTATTCGTGTGCAGAAGAAGAGACAGCGGCTGCGGCCGTTTGAAAGTGGTGCCTGAATGTGTCTAATCTCTACCATCATGGATTCTCTACCATGGATGTGAATTGCAGTGTACTACGGTACTGCTACCACCTTTCTACCACCGGTCAAGTGTCGCTATGAGAATCTAATTGGAGTCGAGAAGTGAATGAATGCAATGTGAAACGAACGCTTTTGGCAAGTCGGAGCGGTGGTGAGGGTCTTTATCTTCTCGGACTTGGCAGCTTGGATTTGTGTGTTTTTTTTTTTTTTTT